AAGCATTCTGCACCTGGGGGTTGAATGCAATGACTTTATTACGAGAAATAAAAATATAATCACTAGCAGCTATAAAGGGCATTCATAGTAGATAAAGTCGACATATAGATTCTGTTAGATAAGCAGTTAAATTGATTTGAAGGAGGTTTAAATGCATTAGCCAGCATTTTTTAAATTAGTAATTCCCTTTCTATTAAAGTCATCTTCCTGATTTAAATTTAGAAATTATAAGTTTAACCAGGAATAATAGCATAAATAATCTAAATTACTGGTTTGAGTACTAATTATGCATTTAATTATTACGGGGGCTCCAAATTTACAATCTTGGTTTTGCTCTGTTAAGGGCCCCATCCTATGGGCATTCTAACTGATGGGGAGAAGCCTCCAAGAGATTAAAAGTCTTCCACAGATAACTCCCAGAGTATATAAATGACTCAAGTAGAATCTGATTGTTTCCGGAGCGGAGTTATTTGTTTTTCTTTGATAAAGGAAAATGTTGAAAAATGCTTTTACAAAAAAACAAACCAAACCAAACCTGTAAATCAGAAATGGTCAAATGCTACCTAAAGCTTCTTTCCATACTTGGGGCAGGGGGTTGGGGTGGAATATTTAAATACATCTATTAGAAGAAAAAAGAAATTTTTTAAAAAGGGGACATGAGTTAGAAAATTAGCTGTAGGGGACAAACAGACCAGCCATGTGGAAAAGTAATTGAGAGGCTCAGTGGCTGTAAGTGGCAGCCGAGTGCTTGTTTTGCAGAAGTGTACCCGAGAGGGCAGCCTGTTCTTTGGTCATATGATCCCATTTAAATTGTTTTAACTATAGGTGGATTTTTAATCTTCTGTTTCCAAAGGAAGGCATTCCAATAAAACTGAAGCCTTAAAATATTAGCCTGTATACATTCTTCCCTTCTTATCCACAGAAAGATATTAATAGTAGAATTGACTTGACATGGAGTCTTTCTATAGATTGCACACCTTTAATTCCTACCTGTTTTCTATTTTCTCCATCATTCTATACAGTGAGACCTATACAGCGGATTCTGGTAGTAGCAAAATTGCCTTTTGAATGCTGTACGCAGCTAGAGAACAGTGGTTGTGTTCTGTTTCCTGATCTCCCCTCTGAGGCAACAGAATGGCCATGTATTTAGTGGGGGCAGGCACAAATGACTTGGTGATGGTGATGACCTTGTTTAATTTTAGCCCCCATTTTGAGCTCTTGTGTGCTCCTCTTCGGTTAGGATGAAGACTGCAATGGAAAGAACAGTTGCCATGAAAGTGAGTCATCGGCAACCACTGAGGCTGTGCACTATCTTTATATCCAGGTGAGGCCCTGGCGTACAGCAGCTCCAGTAGTTGCTGGTGGGTATGTTTCAGGAGACTAGAGCAAGACGTTGGGCAGAAGAGGACTCACCGGCACTACCAAAGATTGATTGGCCAGAGGATTGCAGTGTGGAGGCCCTTTTCCCCGAGCCGTGCACTCATGCTTTCCTGTACCATAGCAGGAGACGGCATAGGGCAGTGCTGATGGGCTCCGGACTCAGGCTTTGTAAGTTCGCATCCTGGATCCACCAGTCACAGCTGTGTGAGCGCATGCAAGTTTCTTCTGTGCCTGAGGTTCCACATCCATAAATTAAGTAATAGTAGCTATCTCAGTGATGTATGACGAATAAGTGAAATACATGTGTAAAATAATTAGAACCATATCTGAGTTCCATAGATACTAGACGATGCATGTACAGAAACTCTCCTTTGTCCAACAAGTTGAAGAACCTCTAGGGGAAAGGAGCCACAGGCAAACCCGTTCCAATGAGACGTTACTAAAGGGAATCTGTAGGCCTTGGCCTGTTCACACACCTGAGAGGTGGCGTCCTGGACAGTGGTGAGCTCTGCCAGCAGAGGGACAGCCACAAACCGAAGAGGAAAACTTGCCTCCGCCCCGAGTGAACAGGATCATCATTAGTATTTTCAGTCATATCTGCAAGTAGGCAAATCTTCAAATGTGAGATACGATGGAAGAAGGAACCCTCAGATAAGAGAGCATTCAGGTGGTTGTTTTCCTGGGGTTGGAGCTGGCTTTAGGTATTCCCTAGCAGAAATATCTCTGAGGTACCACTCACACAATAAAGCATTTGTCTCCTAAACCACTAACTTCTCAGTATCTACGGTGTGCCATTACTCTTCAAACAATTATAATGATACAAAAGTACATAGAAGAGGTGCATCCGAGGTGAGGTAGGATCGAGGTGTAGGAGTCAGAGGCCTTTGTGAGGCCTGGAGGATGAGTCCGAATTTGTACAGTTATTTTGAGCATGATATTCCTCTCATTTAAAATGAGATATCCTCCCTTTAAATAAAAACAGTAAAAGTAAGATCCTCCTTTATGAGAAATCTCAACTCTGGCCCTGGTTGGACACATATAGGCTAGTTTCACAAATCAGATGCTACATGTCAGCTTAAGATTTAAATGATACTGTATTGTTTTGTGACATGTCTGTACACTTAAGAGGTGAGTTAGAAATTGCCATTATNAAAAGCGCAATGATGGTGCCAACTTGGGCCAGTGAAGCAACATCCTCCACAACTAGACTGAAGAACAAAAGGACAGCAACTTGTCTGTGCCTCTTCCCCCAATTCCCCAGCGCTGTTCCCATCCCCCAATTCCCCAATAAAAAATCTTAAAAAAAAAAAAGAATTGTTCCATGAGGGTAAGTCTTTCTGCCTATGGAAACTACAGTAGTACCCCCTTACCTGAGGGGGATATGTTCCAAGACCCCTAATGGATGCCTGAAACCACGGATAGTACTGAACCCCACATAGATTTATGGTGTTTTTTTTTCTACACATACATACCTATGATAGTTTAATGTATAAATTAGGCACAGTAAGAGATTAACAATAACTAATAGTAAAATGAAACAGTTAAAACAGTATACTGTAATAAAAGTTATGTGAATGTGGTCTCTATGTCTCTTCTCAAAATATCTTACTGTACAGTACTTCCCTTTCTTGTGATGATGTGAGATGATGTAATTCCTACGTGATGAGATGAAGTGAGGTGAATGATATAGGCATTGTAAGTTAGCATTAGGCTGCTATTGACCTTGGGGGCCATTATTAAGTAAAATAAGGGTTACTTGAACACAAGCAACCGCAATACCAGTAACGGTTGATCTGGTAACCTAGACGGCTACTAAGTGATTAGCAGGCAGGTAGTACCTATGCTGGACATAGGGATGACTCAGAACAGAATGGTGGGAGATTTCATCACACTGCTTAAAACAGTGCACAATGTAAAACTTAAGAATTGTTTATTTCTGTAATTTTCCATTTAATATTTTGAGACCATGGTTGACTGTGGGTAACTGAAACCGTGGAAAGTGAAACCATGGATAAGGGGGAGCCACTGCATACTTTTTCTTGATTCTTCATTTGTATCCGGCCTGGTACTCAGCCTATAAATTCTTTCTTCCCTCTCACTGAGGTGTGTTTGCCTGGATGACAAGGAAAGATGGAGTCCTCAGCAGCTGTTGAAACACAGCTTTATAAATCCTCAGCCAAAAATGCCTTTAGTGGAACAAAGTCCTGAAGGTGCGTCTTCTACCATTCTTTTTTGATACGCTTCTTGACATAAATTATTTTAAAGGTATACATAAACCTAAAACTGGGAAGGACTATATGGATCATTTCTTTTACCTATTTTATGCTGAACTATACATAAGACCCTTCATTTAAAGGGTAGTATGTGCATGGAACTGGTTTGCCATCCTGGTTTTTCTAATCTCTACTGATGGGAGTGTCCTTTGGTGTGGCCTCTTTTAGTGTTAAGAAACCCTTCTTATCATGTCACCCTTATTACCATGTAACTGGATTTCCCTGCTGCTCCCTAGCAGTTTAAGGGACCTCACTAGAGATTGGGATGAATCAGGAGACCTGGGCTTGGGTTCTGGCTCTATTGTCCAGTCATTTCCTTACTCTCTGTCTCAGTTACCTCCACCTGTAAACTTGGGCTAATTGTATATTTCTACCTATTTTAAGGAAGACAAGGTGAGGGAAGTATTAAAGTGTCTGCCAGGTAAGAGGCACTTTCAAAACTACTAGTTGGGGCCCCTTCGTCTAATGCTTGAATCATTGTTGGATATCGCAGCTCTTCCTGTGTTTCTGATGCCTCGTTTGTCTCTGGCCTTTTGTTTTATCTCAGATTCCGGAGGACAAGATTACATTGAGACCGTTATTCCTAGCAACCATCTACCCAGTGCTGCATTCTTCAGTGAGACAGAGAGACAGTTTTCCCGCTATTTCATTGAGTTTGAAGAATTACAACTTCTCGGCAAAGGAGCTTTTGGAGCTGTCATCAAGGTATGATATATAGTTGTCCCCAGTCCCTTTTAGAGTTCTCACTCTGTTCCATTTCTTCAGACTTATGGACTTGGCTTCTGTTTGGAGAGTGGGGAGGGAAGTGAATTTGACCATTTGAAACTATGACAACGTTCATGAAGTTAAAGGCTTTAAAGTTACACTGGACACACTAAGAACGCATCATTCCTCTTCCTTGCTTGATGACTAATGTGAAAACTGCGTGATGATAACAGCCCTTCAAGCGGAGTCAAGACCTTTACACAAAGAACATTTCTGTGTCCTGTGGTTCAGAAAGAAAATTCTTCTCTTTTTCTCACATTTGCTGTCAGAGTTGCTGTAGGTAAAAGGGCTGTATGGTTAGAACTAAGATGGAATTCCAACTGGGAAATGGTCCCAGATGCTCTTGATGGCTTTTATTTTCCAGGTCTTATTGAGATGGAAAATTAGTGATATGTTATTAAGGTATTCTGTTGTTAGGTCTTCCTTTCTTTATTCTAGTCTATTTTGGTGACTTATTATTATCTGCCCCTTTAGAAAGAGATTTCAGCTATTTTTATATAATTTAAGTATTTTGTTTGAATTTAGGAGACCCAGATTAATGTAAAATCCATATAAGGTATATGTCATCTTTCACATAAGAAGTAGCTCACCATCAATAGGGCATATACCTGTTTAGGATTCTGAGAGTATTGTTAGGAAGCATTACTAGTATTGCTGTGGAAGGCCTTTTACACCAAAAAAATAAAAAGGATTGGTTTTCTGCGGTAATTGGGCAGAAAGACCATCTTAAGCAAGTTTTACAAAAGGATGTTATAGTATGGAAAATTTTTTCAACTAACTTCTTGAAAGCACGCACATTACAGTTAGGTGATTAAATAGATCTGTAGACAGACAGGATCCTGATCAGGTCATTGCAGTTATCTTTAAGAGGGGTGAATGTTTGAAGTATGGATTATTCCTTTAGCTCAGACTGTAATTTTGATCAAGCCCTTTAACTTAATATTTTATTTTATTTTTATTATTTTTTAACTTCTTTATAGTTTAGATTTTTGAATGCAAAACATTATCAAACTTCCTATCCTTCCAAGAACTTAAAAATGATTAATAAGCTCATAAAGCAAAAATGTCTCAGTAATTTAAGCCCCCACGTTTTTCTTATAGTTTCTCCCTATGAGAACCCCACAGCCCTCACACCCCACCTCTGTTTCCAGGTTAGGTTAGGGCATGCTTCTCATTGGTCTGACATTTTGTTAGGAGTTGAACCCATAACTGTTAATGCACCTTTCCATTTGAATAAATGAATTCCTGGGAGTCCCCACCCCCCAGTCAGTGACTCATAGCATATGTGATGTGTACTGAGACATGAAGTTGAAAGACAATGTTAAGACTTTCTATTGTTTTCCACTCTATTAATAATGTGGCAAGAAAAGAACTATCATGTTTTTTTTTGGAGTATATTTCATGTTTCAGCTTGTGTGCCAGGTGGCTTACAAACCTTGTCCTTCAGTCTCATGACATTCTTTTTTTTTTTTTTTAATGTTTATTGGGGTGACAATTGTTAGTAATGTTACATAGGTTTCAGGTGTACAATTCTGTAATACATCATCTATATATCACATTGTGTGTTCACCACCCAGAGTCAGTCCTCCTTCCATCACCATCATGACATTCTTTTTTTTTTTTTAAAGACAAGTACTTTTTTTAAATTTTTTATTGGGGAACAGCGATGGTCATTAGTAACACATTGCTTTCATGCTACAATGGCATAGTTGACTCTTTTAAGGAGGGCACAACTCAGTGACCCATGTGGGGGGATGAACCGGCAACCTTGGTGTTATCAGCACCACGCTCTAACCAACTGAGGTAACCAGTCACCCCAATCATGACATTCTTATGAAATGTAGGTATTATCCTCACTTTGCATATGAGGGAACTAAGGCTCAGAGAAGTTATGTAATTTGCTTAAAGTTACATACATTCTAAAAGCAGCATCTAGACCCACATGTGTTTTACTCGAAAGCATGTGTTCTTTCCACTACTTCCACACAAAAAAGTCACATGAAACTCCATTTAGTAGTGCAATTGAAACCTGAGCCAAACAAAAAAATGGTGTTCTCTTGTCTTTTGTTTTCAACTAGTTGTCTCTCTCTGCCCATGGCCAAATTGTTGCTTTTTATTACCTCACTTGACCTGCACGGGTGGGACTGGAATGTTCTGGTGAATGACATTTTATAAAAGTTACTTCAGTCAACCCAATTGCATAGTGAAACTGCCCAGCATAAGGATGCCTGGAGACGTGCCTTGGAAACGTTTTCTTGTATTTGTAGTTTATTGTGCTCCTACTGATATCGTTCTAGTTTCAGTACATGTCATCAGTGGTACATCTTCAGTCTTTGTAACAAAATCAGTGGGCAGTAGTTGTGTAAATACTGAGCACCTTTCTCTGTGAGGCCTTCATACAGGTGCTCTTCACCCACCTCATCTCATTAAATCCTTACAGTCATCCTTTGAGGTGAGGAAAATGGTACAGATGCCATTTTATAGGTGAGAAAATTGAGTCTCAAGGAAATTAATTAGTCCAAGTTCACACAGCTTTGTAAGTTGAGAATTAGGGTTTTCATTTAGGTCTGTTAAAATTTTTGGAGTTTAGTGTGTGTTTAGTGACTTTAAGTGTAAAAAAAAAAATCAGAGAAACTAAAATCATCTGAAACCGTGCACTGATTTTAGAAAATAATTATTTTTAGAACAAGGTTAAGAAAACAGTAAGGTTCCCTTAGAAATTTAGATAGCAGACGTGATATTGGAA